GCTGACGTTTGTCATATTCCTCGACCTGAATGTGGAATTAGACTCTATCTATCGTGAGGTGTTATGGCAGTGTCTGGGTGTGGAGGCAGTACCCAGCACGTGTATAATTCTTATAAATGCTCTCTACTTGAACTCACGCACCATTCTACCCCAACGTGCCATGTCAAGGGAAGTTAGAGTAGGTCGAAAGAAGGTTGAGAATGGCCAGACCAAGACCTAGCACCAGTCGATACAGACTCTTACTATTGACTTGAACCACGTGAGGAAATGAGGACTGCCTGGTTGGGGTCCCCGAGACGAAAGTAATCAGTGGTTTAGAACTCGGTGAAATGCTTGGAAATCGGTCATAATGGTGCAGATGTATTCACTCGTTGAAATCTAAAACTTGAATATCTACACTAAACTTAGTCTTCAGATTGTTTATTCTGTAACACTACTTTATTCTCTTTGTTATCACTCCTTTTTTATCCACCTGTTTTATGTGTTCTTACTATGAAGTATGGCAACTTGAGGGGATGCACCTATGTGCGAGGTTCCATGTTGATTTTGTCAATCAGCGTTAGTGTCGATAATTTTACAAAAGTTTCATCTCATAGGTGTGTGGAATGCAAGGTGTGATGGATCTCTAAGCAGTAAAAGAGATGAATTACAGTCTCAATTGGTTGCTTAAAATACCAGAAATATAAATTGATCATTATTTTTATTGTCATCTTGGCTATCTGAGATAGCCTTGGTTTGGCAGACTGGTATTTATACTGTGTGATGATTTAAGGTGAAATGGAAATTTATTGTTAGAAAAACAGCCAGACAAAGAATTTGGATGATTAAATTTTGATGAAATGCCGCCTGTGTCTAGAATTCCTTATCAAAACTGATACTGCTAGAAAGTACTATTTTTTAGCTGTCTTTAAGCTTGGTTCCATTCATAAATTGATTAACTTCAAAGTTCATCCTAGAAACTGTTGAATTAATCGAACCGTTTTCTTGATTACATAAAAATGCCTCTTCAGTATTCCTCAGAAGGTGTCCCTTACATTCGTTTTAATAAATTGTTATCATTTTTTACCATCCAGGTGTTTCATTCACTTAACTGTCAGCATATAACCTGTTTCCCGGTTAAGTGGGGTTGTAAATCAACTTGTGCTGCCGTTCTGCAATCCACGTTTAAAAATGTAAAGAAAAAATAGTAGCTTGAAGTTGAATAAACTGTTTCTGAGTTGGTTACCTCTAAAGCGCAGTATAGTATCGATATTTCATGTGAAAACTAACTTCGCGGCTGAAATAAAGAGAAGTACTAAGTTACTTCAACGGTTGCTAAGGTGGTTTTTAGAGAGTAACACATCAGTAACTCATCAGTGTCGATTCAATAAAGTACGTGGTGAAGAGGCCGATCAAGTGCAAAAACGCAAGACTAGCTGCTTTCAAAAAAATCCAAAAACACTCAAATTAAGAAGCATAACAAACCTACGGGAAAGAAGTATACAGTCCACAGTAATGGCATTACCATAGCACATCACCTATGGTCCGAAAGTCAAAGTGGGTTGACAATCTTTCAACTCGAGTCCTAAGGTCAAAAGACGTAAAGGTGCTAGGGAAAGGCCTTAACTTCAATTTAGTGGCTAGTGAATAAGAACCAGATGTTATTTCCAAAAGAAAATTGGGATAAGTCCAATAGATAGGACAATTGCAGATGAGGTACGAACACAGTAATCACTAACACCGAAACAACAGGAGAAAATGAAACCTAACGTACCAGAACTAGAAAGTGAAGGTCTTAGGAACCCTAAGAATGATAACAATATAATGATTACCAAATCGGAGAAAGGCAAGTTAGTGGATGTAATGAACAAATCTGGCTACACTTGCAAAGTGAGTAAAAAGACAGAAATGGGACCATATGGAAAAACTAAAAACCAGTGGACGCTATTATGAATAAGATTAAGAAGTCCGCATGGGATCAGATATGCCAAGGAAGCTGTTTCTAGATGAGTCTAAATGGTATGTTAAAAATGTCAAAAACTAATACTTCCAGTATAATTTATGATACCATTGAGATTTATGAGCCAGGTTATCCCATAAGACCGAGAGTAGATTTTAGAAAAACCGCAACTTATGAGTTGTCCAATTGTTTATTGATGGTACTAGGCTCAGTTTAGAAACCATTCAAAATCTCGGCTTATTAACTGTAATGATCTAAAGCATAAATCAAATGATATACGAGTAGACGAGAGTGTGAAAGTGGTTCGTTTTGGTATAACTAGCCTTCACACGAATATACCGATCGACATGGCTCTGGAGGCAGTTAGAAATGAGCTTAATGTTGAGGATGAGCTCATGCATCGAAGGTACTAGTCGAGGAAATCATGCTAGGAGTACGATCGTGCCTGATGTCTACAATTTTAAAATAAAATATACGAACAAACTGGAGGGTTTGTCATGAGATCACCAATGTCTCCGGTCGTCACAGACACATTTATGGGTAGTTACGAACCAAAAGACCTTCAAAAATTTGGCCCTTCTCCAAATATATGGTTTCAATATATATTCGACACATTTACAATACCGAAATCAATAGCTTCTTGACATAAATAAATTCAGTAGTAGACACAATCCATTTTACCTATGACTTAGAAAGTGATGAAGATGAGCTAGCAGTGCTGTATTACAAGATTAAACGAAAGCAAGATGGAAGTTCAGAGATTAGTGTCGATAGGAAACCTTCCTATTTGTATCGCTTTTTAAACTTCAAATAATCTCAGTTAAAGAAGGCTTAGTTAAATGTCGAAGTAATAGGGGAGAAAAGCTTACTAGTAAGACAGAAAATCTGATACGCGAAATTAAACATGTCAAGAATACCTTGCGTCTCAACAGTTACCCACCTGGAATAATTAATAAATTCATACGAAGTCGAGAGAAAAATATGAGCAGTGTAGTGGGCGTCGCTGATAAAAATGGATATAAGTAGTATATGTTGAGAGGGTGGCAGAAATCATAGGGAATTACCAGCAATGGGTAAGGATTCTGCCAAGAGCAACGCAAGGGATAAAGCAGGCGTATTGCGGTAGATGTTGCTGACAAGAATGTATGAAGAGCAAATCAAGAGAGAAGAAGAAGAGGAAACGAAGCACATTTTGCAAATGATGGGTTTAGTGCACGGTGTACCATATGTAACGACTACCGTCCCAATGCTTAATTGTAGTCATTCTTCCTGTCTTGTCTGTCTCCTTTTTCCTCCAGTGGTAACTCAAGTGGTAGTAGCAATCTTACTAATAACAACAGCAGTAGTAACGGTGACAGGGTGGGGAGAGAAATTGAAGCCCCTACTGTGTTACCATACTAAAGAGTCACCTCACAGCTATTATGCGCGATTTTCAGTAGCAGTTTTCCGACAAACCTAGGTGGAAGCTTTGTAGGTTAAAAAATCCGACTGATCTAACTGGGCAAAATAATTCAGTTTACCAAATCTTTTCCAATGACTGCAAGGTCAAATACATAGGTCAAGGTATTAGAACAGCGTCAGTCAGAATAACAGCACAGAAATCTAGCTAAATCGTGATTGACAGATTCCAATAAAATGAGGAATCTAAAGAAAAGCTCGGTATAGCTGCGCATGCAGTTGCACACGATCACACAATAGGGTGGGATAAGGTGACATTATTAAAAACGAACTTAGTTAGGTGGAGGAAGAGATTGATAACAGAATCTTTGTTTATCAAGTCAGCACCAAATACATATCATAGGAATTATTCTGAGTCTGTCCCAGATACATGGAAAGTTCTTTTAATCTTATCACTAAGAGAGAGAGGATTGGAACTATATAAACCATATTGTGGAGTTACCTGACATGAATATGGAAGATGAGTTATGTTCAAAACGTTACCTAGTGAAAGATGCTGTTTTAATGTAACCATTCTAATAAAGAGACTAAAATGGAATTGCAACCTATCACAGTACCCAAGTTCTACTCCTATATTAACTGGTGAAATAACCTGTCAGCTTCTGGTATTTTGCCTATAAAGTTAGTTGTTCATAAAATAAAAGACCGTAATTGGTTATCTCAGTAACCTTTAAGGTTACTCCTATTTTTCACATATTCAACTTTTTTTATATGAAATTAACTATTCTAAGTGTCACTGATAATATGCTAAGTAGTTCACAAAAATGGTTGTGAAATAAGACTTGTTTTGTGATCTGCCCTAGCCGGATTCTTCTCTCAGTAAACATACTACAAAGTGTGACTATATCCTATCATTCTGACAATGAGTTCAAAACTAATGGAAGTATAAATAGGCAAAATATTTTCTTATTTCAAATCGTCTTCAGCATGAAGTCTGTTTATTACGAAAGTTTTTGAGGATCCTACAATGCAGGATAGGTGATTAGTAAAAATTTCTTTGCTAATCAAAGTACCTTTTAAATACCTTATTGTTAATTCTTACAACCATGTTATCAAAGCAATTTCATTTATATTTTACTTTACTATCCAAAGTCCCTACAACACCAAATCAAGAGACGTTAAGGTTTTCTGAAGTATTTAGTTGGTCAGGATGATCAAGAACAAACGACGTGCAGGGATATTACTGGAGAACAAACTTATCTAACGAACATAAATCATCACTTTATATAACGGCAAATATAATGGATAATCAGAGCGCACAAAAACAGTTACTTTGATATGTACGTACTCAACACATTCTTTGTCAGATTAAGGGGGTACACAACCTGAAAAAGTCAAATAACACTATTAATTAAAACTGATCAATACAGTTTATTTCCCATTGATTTATTATTCAATGTCAGTGTAACAAAGAAAACTACGTTTAAACTGAGAAACTCAAAGTAGACTGAGATATAATTAAGTACATGCTGCTGTCACATTATTTGATCGGTTGTTTTTCATTCTAGTCATTCAGTCATTTGTTTACCGAAAGCTTCATACTCACATTAAATTCACACATGTATATGTATAATAATAATGAAAGAAAAGTACGTAAACTAACCAATACAGCATAGAATATGATCTTTTGATTAGCTTCATAATCATCTATATAGCGCCTTAACATGCCCATTGCTTCAATTCGATGCAACGAAAATAATTCATTGAAACGCATTACCAAAATTTGTTGTCTGTATCTTTGAATTGGATCATTTGGGCTCAATGGACTTACACCAGTTAGCATAGACGGTTTTAAATCTGCTGGAGCAGATAAGGATAGTGGGCCAACATCCAGTTCTGTGTACCTTCAGGTAAAGTAGAAAATCTGACTGAATGATTCAATATTTTTTACTTTAAGGAAATATTCAACTCAGAAATATTAAAGTTTACAAGAATTTCAGATGTCTTTGAACGGAATATTTTTATCATGCAATGAGCATTGTGTCAGGGTATTTTACAAGATAACCCTCAGTTATGGTGCACTTGAGAATGAAATACAGAACGGTAACGTAAAATGCAGTATTCATGGCTTTGGTCTGCCATGGTGACCGTGAACAAACCTAGCTTGCACTGAATAGCTTACTTAGCTTTTGTTCCACTGTCAATAAAATACTTTATAAGAAGTCATATTTAGATTGTAGCATGAACAGCTACATTTCTGGGCTCTGCATTTCACAAAAACAGCTTTGTAACTTACTGACCTAAAGAGGAGAAAGCTTATGGTAAATATTTTCCCTTAAGTTATCACTCACGCTTATCTTACCCATCCAATAAGTTTCATGAAGTTTCTGTGTCACTTTTTAAATGGATAAGGCGCTTAATTCAATGCGGTATTGAGTTATTGTCTACAAAGATTGTTTGTATAGCATGAAGCATATTTCTGGTCACTAATAATCCAAACACTGACTAGAGTCAAATATGGTCGTGAAAGTTAATCAACGAAAATAAGAAAGAAGAAATCATGAAACTGTTCATCTTTAAGTGAGAAAATTTAGACTTCATGTTCGCATCTGTAGATTTGGGTGAAATCTACATTTCATGGTATTGTTTAACTTAGGTCATAGTCAGTACTAGTGGTTCAGGTGTATACACTTCTTTCTTCAGCTTGAATATTAGATGTCTGATTATCTTCAGGGTATGAGTATTATTCCTCTTGATGCGTTTGCGTTTTCAGTCCTTCTTCGCTTCTCTGATTTCCTTCGGTTGTACTTGTTCATATAGCGGCAACCGGAATAGACGAAGAAAAGTTTCAGTTTCTTTGTTGCCTCAATTACCGGGTACCAGTCTTTCACCTGATATCATTCAATAGATTTATACTTTTTTACCTTGTTTCACAACCTGAATGATTACCTAAACCTTATCAGAAATTAGAACGTATGCATACAGTTTTCTTTTATTAACGTTTTATGAAAATAAAAGTTCCCAACTGGTTTGTTAACTGCAATAAATTGTAGTCATTCCAATCATTGGTACTTCAACGTTATGGTATTTCGGTACATTCCAAAGGACCTCATAACCACCTTATACATTTCTTTTCCAGATGACCGGTGATATTGTTAACTCAAAAATATCAGGGTTTGAATGGAGGCGAACTTCTAGCTGAAGATGCTGGCTGCAGAGCTTCCATTGATATAATTATCTTCTATGGAAAGTGGAAAGTATTAGGGTCAATCAGTTTCTTTTGAGAAGTTGTACTGAGATGGATTAGAAGTTTCGTTAGACACTGAAATTAGAGGATTATGCCATCAAAAACATTTTTTAGATGAATCGGTTTCATTAGCTGTACTTATAGTTACAGCAAACAAGTAAGTATATTATCGATCAATAGATCAAAATTAGGTTATAAATGGGGAATATTTGGAGAAAAAATAGAAAGTGGTTTCTAGAATCATGAAGAGATCGCAGAAACATAAGATGTTCAGAAAAAAGTATGCAGTTAGTCATAGTGATGAAGTTAAAGAGTTTTAAATAAGTTGGATTAATGAATAATTTTAATGGGAAATTATAAGGAACACATATAGATTCAGAAGATAAATCCACAAAGTAAACCAAACAATCAGTCATCAAAAACAGGAATAAAATCCATGTAATAAAGGAAATTAAGAAGGGATTATGATCAGGGCAAAATGAGAGACTGGAAGTATCTGTTTTGTACCCATTGGTCAGATTTCAATTACTGGATAACCAAGATCTGCAATATGCGTAAATGGCAAGTGACTATTTATTTAGAGCCGTTTTATTTGGCTTTGAACAAGATTTTGAGGGAAGACTGTGGTAGAACGACGTGGCCATAGTTGACCTAACGGTTCAGAACAAAAATGTTGCTTGACAAGTACTCTACACTGGACAGTCAAGAAGAATATTGCTGAGGTGTGCTTCTGGAAACTTTCTGATTTGTGTAGCCTTAATTAACATCTTCCCAAGAACAGGTAAGCGCATCCATACACATAGATTTACTTCAAGGCGGTAATTAATCCTTTACACCTGTCGGATGGTGAAGACAGCTGACTGTTAATAGGCACAGAATATCCTCCTTATCATGTTAGTAAATTTATTCTGACCAACCCTATGATTTTGCTCCTTGCGAACTCAATGTTTATGAGTAAGAGATTTTTAGGAAAAACAAGAACTCATTCTTGTTCCTGTCTTGGTCTCATATTGTTTGAAGTGAGTCTTTGGGTGAAGGACTATTTCAAAGAAGCACTTTTCGAAGGCTCCAATTTTTCATCCATTATGTTCTCTGCACAGAGTTATGTTAATTATTCTCGATTTCAGACCTAATATCCACAACAAAGCAACTAACTTTACGGAATCTGAAGTTAAACTGATGTTGAAAACTAGTAATTCATTGTAGTCTCGTCAAAAAAAGAGTTCACTTGGATGTAGGCCAACACTTAAACTTATTCTATTAATGAAATACAATTACATAACTATTTTTAAAATAAGTTCATTCTGCATCATCTGTCTCACATCAGTTACATTCAACTCAGAATGCAAAGTAATGCTTGAATCGAAATTTTGAAAACGTTAGCTAAATTTTTAGAGGCAGCCAAGCTATATGTAGACAAACTGGTTAAAGAGAATAGATCTTTGAAGAGTATAAGGTTATCAAAACTCTCAATAGCGTGTCAAGGAAATAAAAAAACCCATTAAAATAAGGATTTGAGAGATGAAATGCAAACAAATAAAGCTTAATATGATGTTCATATTTTCTGAGACGACAAATAAAAAATATATCTGCAACAGTATAGTTGGGTTAGAAATTTATCATCCAGACTCTGAAGCCAATGATTTTAAGTTCTCTAAGATCTTATTCAGTTTACTTTACCGTACATGACTCAGAATTATACTCAGAAGCTTCAAGAATCAGTATAAAATCCCAATTTCGTCAGCCACATTTGACTCGTATCATCATATATGCATATTATAGATAAAGAAACAGGTTATATAACGCGAAAATTAAATATAACTGGTTCGACATTTGTGAGAAAGTTGTTCAATCAAACGCAAACAAATAATGCATTGGTGGAGAAACAAAGGTTGGTTTTTCAGATTTATATAAGTTGTGTAGCCCGTATACTACTATTCAATAACTGTGTTTAAGTCGACTACTTTAGATTCACCAACTCTGCTAAATTCAAACTGTACATATTTTGTTTAAATATAAACAACCTACATTTTTGCAGAAGTTGGAAGGTTCTTTAATGATCCATAATTATTTCGACTCAGATCATATTCATTATGAGTTGGGTAACATATCTGAGATTTAAGACGTTCATTTTCCCCTTCCAGTGAAAGTATCCTAGGGAAATAGTGATACAAGTATACGGAAATTTTATGAGAATAAATTAAATTTCTGTGACATTCTTATGTTTTTATTTTCCTTTAGCCAGTCTTTATTGAATCAATAGAATTATGCAGAGAATAATAACAATAATAATAAATAATATTTATTTTCAAAAAGGTATACGGATAAAATTTTGCTAGTACCATTCGGATGTGGGTTTACTAAAAAAGATGAGAACTGGTCATGCTCTGAATTCTCATGAAATGAATTTGATTTTTTTTATAGAGATTCTTCACTAAACTTTACAACTGGCTCTGGTTTCTGTGATATTCTAAACCGGCTACGTTAGTTAGAAAAATTGTTTTTTGACGACGAGCAGTTACAATTATCTGCATCGTTTTGCCTTCTAACATCTATTGGTGATGTGTATTTATTATTTCGTGAAAACATGCCAGCTACTGAAGAATTTAAAATTCTACATTAAGTGATCCTAGTGAAGGTTTTTCGGTTAAAGTATTGCATTCACCAATAATTCGGTGACATCTTGAAGTACCTAAACAGATTGGATATTCAATTGTCGTCAAATTATGATTCGTTTCATATTGTTAAGCGTAGCTTATAATTCCTCATCTTGTCGCAAACATCTTGCTTTAAATTGTTAAGTAAGTTTATGTGTGAATCTATTCTGGGCAGCGTGTTTGAACGGGAATCGATCAAGATAGCTGTTACTGAGATAGCACAAGATTTTGCTGTGTCCAGTCATGAGATATCTCCATAAAAGTGGGATAATTTCCGGAGAAAACAAACCAACGGTGTCTGAAGCCAATAACTGAAGAACTTGTAGTGCACTTTCTTGGCACCAAAATAATGCTAGGCTTAAAATAAATAAATAGACATCTAAAATAGATAAATAATAGCTAAATAATCTTCTACGACGTCACTGAATGACTTTAGTTCTGAGTTTGTTTTAGTGCATAAGCATCCGCATGTTGACATTCGCCATCTTTACGTCTTCTTTGTACTGATTGGCAGCTACTAGCTCAGATTCTCTAGCTTAGCCATCATTAGACAGATAGGTTAACATTCTTCCCCCTAATATAACAACTTTGTCTTTGACTAATAAACAAACTGTTTATCTGAGTGCTTCTTACCACATAACGTGTTTTCTAACTTGTCTTTTGTTATCAGTACTTACGCGTTGGTGAGGCAATAATTAGTTGGATACTGGTTTACAATGACTTCAGTAAGGCTAATCAAGTGTTAGGCAATATTAACTCAACAACACCCACCTCACAAACTAGTTATATTGCAGTATCATAGATATACCTCCTGTTTATTCTCATCAAAATTTCAACCTTTATGTTTTATCTTTTCTCTTATATCCTGTTTTTTGATTTAAATAGGGAACTATTTCTCTTTATTTGCTTATTCTGTTTGGATACGGTGTACCAAATTCAAAGATCACTTTTTTGTGTGCTGCCTTGCGTTGATATGTTGACGTGTATGTCTACTAGTCTGTCACATTTACTCAGGTTTTGATTATTTAAGGAATGAGATTGGAATAATGCAATACGAAAAGGAAGTTTATTTTACTGATAAAATGATCTTTAAAAGTTTTTAATTTCATAGCATTTATCATTGAATAGAAAGATTTTTTTATGAAATGCTTATTAGATGTTATCAACGCACATTTATTCTAAACATTCAACTTGACAATCTATTTTAATAGTTTAACAGTAATATTCCAAAGTTTTTGATTGAGGCTAATTTGATATAAAAAGAAAGGATTTTTTTAAACTTTTATATTTCCTATTTATTTCTCTTTATTACATACATCATACTGTTCAGTAGTTTCTACCGTAAAATTCTAAATTCAACAGTAAAAAGACAAAAGAGCTCCAACTAATAAACTAATGAGAATATAGTTTTCTTACACATTGGTTTATTTCTACTGGTATATAGTGGAGTTCACATGTACCTTCCATTTCCTCAAACAAGTTTGAAACCCTTTACAAAATGAATTTATTATTTCTGTATGTACACCTTTAAATTGAATTTGCACATAGATAGGTTAAGGTGTAAGATGGTGTTTTTGACAAGGATAACGATCGAATTCCTCCACTCACCACTGATGTCTGTTTTGGATAGAGTTTTTTTCCGTATGATGTCCAGAAACATTTTTAACTTTTTTAAGAATAAATTTTAACCCTTACTTAAAATATTTCAACACAAAAACAATCTTTCGGGTGTTGAGTTTTTCACATTTTCAAAATACACAGCAATAATACATTCACCAATGAGTATAAAACTGTTGATTGCTTTACAATAAATGCAAGGTAAAACATATCACATAAAGTGTTTACAGCAGCCTGAATATAATAATTGCAGACAAATGAGAATATGGTTTTGTTTTATTTTAACTCGCAATTAATAATACAAACGTTGAGGAAATGTATCTAAAGAAATAGTTTTTAGAAATGAATCTGATTTCAATTTGGATGTTTGTGTGGATTTACCAATTTCATGTTGGTATTAATCATGGAATGACATCATTTAGCGAACCATTGAAAACGTGCGAGCACTTGACAGCTACTTTATCCTAGTACAAGACTTCTCGTCATAGTATATCCATGAGACCTCATCGGAGGTCGAACCCAGGACCTTAAGGTCTCTTGGTGAGCGCGTTACCGTTAAGCCACTGGATCGGAGTCTAGTTGCCCACATTTTCCTACTTCTCTCAATTCGTGATATAGTGCGATCTTCGTTCGATATTATTGGTAAACTTTTCACCTCACATTCGACTAGATTTGCTCCATTAGTCACAACTTCTTATTAGGAATTCAGGAACTGCATTTTGAATAGTGTCACTAGTGAGCACTGGTGTGGTCATGAGTGTGCACTGCTAAGCAGTCCCGTACTAGAAAAAAACAGTTGTCCAGTGCTCTTGGTTTCTAGATACTTCACCCGATGTCGTTCATTGATGAATGCTAAATTAGAGTTTATAAATCCCCATAAATTTCAAAAGTGAATTACTGTCTAGTGCTCATTAGTGGAACTCTTCGAGATGCAGTTCCCAAAGTCACAATAATAAGTTGTGACCAATGGGGCAAACTTAGTTGAATATGAGGACAAATACTGACCGATAGCATTGAATAAAGGTCACTGTATATCACGAATTGAGAGAATTAGGAAATTGTGGACAACCCAGTGACTCAATGGCAATGGGCTTGTCGTAACGCCTGGATGTCCTGAGTTCAAGCCCTGAAGAGGTCATGGGTCCTCGCTGCTGAGTAGTTTTATACTAGGACGAAAGAGCTATCCAGTGATTCCAGGTTTTCAGTGGTTCTTTAAATGATGTCATTCCCTGATGCATAACAACTAGAAGTGAATTTGACGTTGAAAACTTGGGTCTATGCAGCAAGAATCTTGACTTTTCTTCATTCATAGAGTAAGTTGCTTTAATAGTGAATCTTTCAACTGTCTTTCTAGACAAAATCATCAGCAATAACTTCATCAAACCAAACTTTGTCTGTGTCATTGAAAGATGATAGGCAATTTAAAACTGCCGGTAAAAAAGTAGTGTAGAAAAGTAAGAACTTAGACCATCCGGACTGAGTGATTACTGTGTCAACCAAGACATACATGAAGAAAGTTACACAACTACGACATTAAAAGAGAGTTGTGCTGCTTAGCATGGAGACAAAATGTGTTAAGTTTGAATCGTTAAATGCCAACTCATTCATTGTATACTAACACGTCCACTGAGAAACTTGGCGTACTCAGGGCTCGAAACCGTCTTGGTTTGAAGTTAAGAGCTACTGGGGATACCGAAACTAATACCATCTGGTTTTTAGTCGTTTTCCAGCTGATTTTGATCTGTGACCACAACTTTAGGATAATTTTTATCACAGTCGGTCTTCAATACTTTTTTGTTTCGAATTTTTTGTTACTCAAATTCACAAGGTTATATAGCGGTCTTAAAGTAAAACAAGTTTCTGATGATACTAATATTCTAATTTTTCAGAACTCGTTAACAAAACAACATATCATTCGGGTTAAAGGTTATTATAAGACTATTCGAGTGTAGTTACTGAATTATTTTATATCAGGTTATCACGAATACTTAGTTTTTTGAAAAAAATAAAATATCTTAAGTTTGCATTCATCACAAGCTGCTGAATACCAGCGTGAAGTTAATAAATCCTCACAAATCTCCAAGTAAAGTGTTTTATTTAGTAATAAATCCTCTCCAGATATTGCCAAATAAATGACTTGTTATCAGCAAAAATGGAACAGTAGTAGATGAACAGAATATAAGCATCGAAAACTCTGTCATACAACAGTCGTGTATACAGACTGATCCTGTAGGCAATTCAGACTAAAAGCTTTGTGTGTTCAAAATTGACTAGTTTTCCAATCGTTTGTTTTCTTTTGATATATGTCAGAAAATCTACCACTACATGATATTTAAATTCTACTTCTCGTAACAGTTGAACACAGTCTAATTGAGTTAACAAATATTATTGGTTTAAACAGAGCGAGTAAATGTATATTCTTTAAAAACCATACAGTTTATTCACATTTATTCCACAAACTAGATTTATTTAAAGTAACATTGTGAACTCACTGGTCTCGCAATCGGTTATTTTCATGACGTGTTTCAACTGGATCAAATTCACTCTTATCTTCAATATTTAATCTGGAATATTTTGAAAAGTTGGATTCATATGGTTTAGGAGAAAACACATGAGGAATCGATGTTTGTGGTCCAACAGTGAAACCAGAGAATACAGTACCGGAACCAAGAAGTGGTAAAAGTCTAAGCTTAATCGCACTGGCACCTCCATAAAGTCCACCTTAATCGAAAAATATATGAATAAATATTAGACAAAATCGTTGAATTCACTTTTCTTTAGTAAACGTTTTTTATATAAGCTTCTGTTGAGCGAAGAAGTTGAGATTCCTGTGTTTCATGTATTCCTCAATGACTCAATTTTCAATACCAGCTTTAACTCCATTTAACTAAACTGGATAGAAGTATATTCAATGAGACATCGTATGAAACTGATGCATGATATTTCTCTAAAAGGATGTGTATTGGGGTAAAAATTGGCTGCATCTTATCTTTTTGGAAAGCTATTTTTGAAGATAACTGTCAGCATGGAACTATCTTGTCGATAATGTTGGCTCATATACTTTTATCATATTCCGAAGTATGTATTCCTCGATATCATGGCTTTTTGTGTAAGAATATAATCGGTTCATTTTAGCTTGATGCTATGAGATTTTTTTTAACTCGACAGGATAAGCTTTGTTATATTGGTACTTTTTCTTATTTTCCTCCAACTACGCATTAAAGTCATCAAAACTGCTTGAAGATTCAACAGAAGTAATGCTGTATGTGGTAGGTGTTTGTCAGTAACATATCTGTTACTGCTCACTAAAACCCTTGTCTTACTGTTTTAGACTACGAGCTCCAAGGAAGTTTCCTTTGCGAATGAAATATCAGAGTTCCCCAAGGTAGTAAAAACCTTAGTTTATCCTCAATTACCCGCTAACTGAAACTGAAATTATGTTATTTAAACAGTTTGCTATCAGTATTCCCTAATTTCTGAGTAAGTTAACACTTTATTAAGTAGTATTTTTGTGTTGTACTTGATGTATTTCCATAAGAGTAAATCAAATATAAAAAACGTTACGTCAGATGAGTCTGCTGATTGTTCAAATGGTTTTATATTTTAGTGATTCTTGTTACCCTAAAACTTTCTACCTGTCATGGCTTCAGTAATTTCACACTTCTTGAATCCTTTATATAAATTAACGAAATAATCGATCCTGTCATATTCTACTACTATCTCTTGATATACCTATAATTCTCCGTCTTTACACTAGATCGAATTGTTTGACCTCTGTTGACATATGGGATCCTTTACGGAAGCCTCGACATTGCCTGGATACTTATTATGGTAGTTTATTGGCTGTGGCTGGCAGAGGAATCCAGGAGCAACATCACTCTCCGGATTGCATGTATATCCAGCTAGTGAGTTCAGAATAGGACGAAACACGCTTCCTGGGTTTCTCTGCAAGCCACAACCATTTTAATTACCATAACCTATCTTATTTATAGAGCAAAACAACCTGGTGCACGGTGAGTGTTTGATTAGGAATAGTTAAATATAGACACAGTATGTGACAGTTTTTGATGTGTTTCACAGCTTGAGAAAGTGGTTCAGTAGTAACCTCTAGTTTTTCGGTATCATATTTACATAGACTAAAAATATGAATGGCCTGACAGAATTTTGCAAAATTCATAAGCGGAATCTAATTCAAAAGTTACTTTAACTTTCGATTCAATACTAAGGGGTAAAGCATTTTATCTTTTAGATACAGATTGTTCCTGAAAATAGCTACAATTCTTATAGGTACTTAAACAAAAATACGAGCACTTAAAGAACCTTTCATACGTGCTGCCAAGTTGCGAGACCATGGTTTCAGGGCTTGATGAATGTCTATTTCTGTTCTTTGAAATTTTAAAATACCATCATTCTACAAACCGTGGGTTTCCAACTCCTGTATTTAAGTAATCTAGGCCTTATTACATGAATTCGATGGTTATGAGCCCCGATGAGATAAAGAAAATGAAGTACATTACATGTGACGTCACATTCATTAAATTATTTGACACTACACTACAGTATGCAAATGCTTTGGGAAATAAGCCTCCATATATTTGGTTATTTTCTTTTTATATACAAAGTTCGTAGTGGTTTTTATGTTGAGCAGTTAAAAAGTAATATCTATTAGTTAGCAACTCATTAAACTATGAAAAACTGTGAGGCACTTGTGTGAGATATTTTTTTAATACCAATTAGTAGTTTTCCACACGTTGCCAAACTTTTGTATTTTTTTCACTTCATAGAACCCATATCTAAAAAAATTTCTTTGTGTATTGCACGTAAGAGTTTTACTTGGCAGAAACTTTTCTGTTGGTGATAAGCTTAGTCCGAACAACTTAGCTACAATCAAATTTGTGAGGTAACCTTGTATACATAACACATAGTGAAATTGATAGAAGGAGAAATTTAGTAGCTGTTAACTGGCATTTCTTAGAATGTTATGTAAATCGGCACACATCCGCTCATCCAGTCTGTTTTCAAAATAGCTTGATAAGGTACAATGTGTAAACATTGCCATACTGGTTTGTGAGTCAATATAATGCGAATAACAACTGAAAGTTTTCACCTGTTGACTGCTTTTTACTTTGGTTCAATGTTGCAAAATGTGCAAGCAAAGTCCCCCCTAATATAAAGCTGTTGTCCTCAGAAAAGTAGCAGATGACTGTAATTAGTGTGGGTATATAAGTCATGCAAAGATAATAAAAATTATCTTGCCTAAAGTTTTATAAAATGGATGAAAATATAACAGCTTACCGTGCTTTTCGTATTTAATTTTGGCCCTAACTTATCTAATATTGTCTTCATTTTCATGTGTAGAACGTGTATCACGAGATAGTATCTTCAAACGATGATGAAACCACACCACATTTTGGTGAAAATTTTAACACCAATTTTATTGAAGTATACTGAAGTTCCATTCGAAAAAGGCATGAAGCTGCACATGGAGCAAGTTAAATCTCATTCAGAAAATCATTTTTCCAACCCTGAAAGCAGATGCTTTACGGCTCTATGGCTGAAATTCCACACTAAAGAAACTAAGCATTATAAAAAAATGAATAATTCTGCAGTCTAAGACAAATTTCTTTGGATAGTTTTAAAAACTCCTAGTGAGAGATTTATCATCTCATTATATTTCTGATGGTCAGCTGTACTTAAAATTTTTATGAACCTTTTTCAGTGCACCCGTAAAGTATGGGGCATTGAAGGCAGATCCTAAGTTCTATAATTCTCCGACGCCTGAGTGGGGCTCGGGAACAGCAAGCCCGAGAAAACCAGGCAGGCTTTAGACCTGGCCGTGGATGTATCGACCAAATATTCACACTGCGCCAGGTCCTGGAACATAGGCATGCTTACAGACGCCCGACAATAGCTGTATTTCTCGACCTGAAGGCGGCATTTGACTCCGTTGATCGAGAAGTCTTATGGCAATGTCTGTCACTGAAAGGCGTGCCTAGTAAGTACATCACCTTATTGAAAGCTCTCTACTCGAACACTTGTGGGCATGTTAGAGCCTATGGTGAGTTGTCCAGGGAGCTATACTCATCAAGTGGTGTCCGTCAAGGATGCCCACTATCCCCATTCTTATTTAATTTTATCATAGATATTCTTATGGAGGTTTCCCTCTCGTCACCTAATTACAAAGACGTTGACCGGATCACAGGTGAATTTTCCTTAGATCTAGAATATGCAGATGACATAGTCCTGTTAGGTGAAGACGCTGACAAGATGCAGAGTCTTCTGAACACTTTGAGTGGGAATTTGAGAATGTTTGGGATGCGATTTTCACCACCCAAATGCAAATTTTTGCTCCAGGACTGGTCTTCAGCGGTACCGCGGTTAACAATAGAGAGTGAAGTGGTTGAGTGTGTTGACCACTTCACTTACCTGGGAAGTAGGATCAACCCGGTGGGTTAGTTGCCGATGAGATTTCTGCACGGATACAAAAGGCTCGATTGGCTTTTGCCAATTTGCGCCACCTATGGCGCCGCCGTGATATTCGTTTGTCTATTAAGGGTCGCGTGTACTGCACAGCAGTCCGCTCTGTTCTACTGTATGGCTGTGAAACATGGCCATTGAAAGTGGAAGACATGAGAAGGTTACAGGTATTTGACCACCGTTGCCTTCGTAGTATAGGACGTATTCCGTGGTGTCACCATGTGAGTAATGCAGAAGTTAGGTGTAGAGTTTTAGGGAGAAGAGGTAAGTCAGTCGACGAGGTTGTGAACCTTCATCGACTGAGATGGTTGGGACACGTACTACGTATGCCTAGTCACCGATTGCCTCGTCACACAATGTTGGCTGAGGTGGGTTCAGGCTGGAAAAAGGCCCGAGGTGGCCAGACTAAAACATGGCACCAATGTATGAAGTCTCTGACTGTTGGTTTAAGCCATGTAGGACGATGCAGACTAGGTGGTTGGGGTCCACGGGACAAGAGGAACCAGTGGTTGGAGACCCTAGGTGATATGGCTCAGAACCGAAGTCAGTGGCGCAGATGTATACACACATTATCCTCATCTTAACAACGCTATACCGAATCTCACCATTTTGTCACTCCTCTTTCCTTTCTTCTCGTACTTTATATTTCTTTTGACTGCATTCACTTATCTTCATCCTTCACCTCACTACCTTTTTACTTGATGTGCTGATATGAGGTGTGGCAACTCGGACCGTTACGCAGTAATGCCTGGTCCTATGTTGATAATGATGATGATGATTGAAGGCAGTAAGTGGTACACATATGTACTGGGACTCAAAGGTTCCTCTGTTTCAAAGAATTCCAGGTCTCGGCTAAGTGATCCGCTCTTATGATTGCTGGTTGCATCAGTCTATGTGTTAAGATTATCAAGGGTCATCTTGAAGAGATGGTTGTGTGCAGAAAGTTCTACTATTAGAACAGTTCTAACAAGAGGGTTTTGAACGAATGAATAGTAAGGCTTTGTGCATAAGTAGCCTAGTGTTCACACAGAGTTACCAAGGCTGTCACATCCAATAGCCATACCATCAGTAATGTCTCGGTCTTAAGGAGCGTGTAGAAAAAAGCTATCGAGTGTTTGTAAATTCATTGAAATCTATGTGAACTTTTCACAAAAAAGGCTCAAGATATTCAAACCAAGAAATTTATTTGGAATACTGGATTTAAGCGCTGAACTCAGCTTTAAGGTTACAACAGAATTGGTTGAGGGGGGAAAAATGAGAGAGACAAGAATTTTACCTACCACTGCTTGTCTCATTACTGCAAAGTCACTCCATTTAGTTCCGTAGCCCATAACTTAGATGCAGGAATTCTGTATTTGTCCTACTTAAAACTTTACCGGTGTATGAATTATTTGTAAAGTCATCATAAACAGATTTAGAAACACAGTCAAAGAATTTACATCCTCAAGTTCTTCATATATGTGGGCAGATATACTACCATAGAAATGACATGCGGTAGTTTCTAAATGAAGATAGTACCATAGTTTGTGTAATCTTAGACGGTCATTGGAGACAGTTTGATATACTTTTTGTAGCCGTGGGAAATATAATGGGTATTGTCATTACCCCAGTTGATTGCCAAAAAAACAATCAATTTTACAAGTAACATGAACGGAACAAAATTAAATTCTTTAAAGAAGCCTGTATCAATCATACCTTCCGCTGCGCAAATAGTTATCAAGCGAAAGAGCTGATTCTGTATCCTTGCATTCAGCTCAATAATCTCACAACCCATCGCCACATTTTCGTCGCAAGTGTTCTTCTACAATAACAAATGAACCGGCAAAAAGCACGAAACCTACCTGGTATGAAGAAGCCCAGCGCTCAAGATTTTCATGAAGTATTAGAAAAGCTGCTGATTTAGCCAACTGATTCAGTGATTCGGACATAACACATATGAAACTAAAAATAGCCAGTAAAGATAATCTAAAAGGAATAATAACACAGTTTAATAGAACATAATAAGTAGGACTTAAGACAGTATTACAAAATAGACTATTGACAGTAACTTGGTCAGCATCAGTACTGAACCCACATGCAGATATAATTTTGATGACTTATTTTTTGCGGAGCACTAACAGTGGATTATAGCAAAGTGAAGCTGTGTTGTGGTAAACTTTTTATATAAGCTGAACAATATTTTGAAAATACGCCTTCTATAACAATAGCAATGACCTTGAAACGCTGTAAACTTCGTTTTGTAGGTGTAACAAATAATGTTCCCTTAGGTTTTTCTTCTATCCTGATGGGATACGTCCTGTGGTTCAAATTTTTACTAATACTTTCGGCTCATAGAAACCTGAAATGACAGAGATAACTAGTTAATTTATCGTCTTTCTGCAGGTTGTGCTGCTACTTATAATCTCTAAGACCACGGTTGACTGCCTGAGTAAATTTTATTGATACTACAGGACTGCCACCTGGCACCAAATCTCCTCTTCACAACGTTAGGAGAAGGGATTATGATAATCTTTTTAGGAAGGGAGCTCCACAGTTTGCATACTCCAACTGCAAGTCAGTTGACGCAGATCGACGTACGTGCTCTATTATGCGCTACTCCATAAGAATAACTTTCAAGCTGGAGCTTCCAATTAAAGCTTGGAGAAGATGGGTAAGGGTTAAGAGTGTTGTGGGTGACCTGAAAAGTGATGATCATATCCCACATCCTCCCATGTTATACTGAACGCAAACTTATGATATCTTAGAGATCCAGATAAGGTCTGTACGGTGGTTCAGTCACATTCTTCATACCTCTCCTCTGAACTCATTGCAGTATGACAATGTTCTTGGTCAAGTACGGACATACAACTAGGTTCCTTTCTATGTGGGGACGGACATATTTTCCGTATACTGTACAGAAAAGATGAGGAGTTAGAATCTCTAGTACTTGAGGAAGTAACTACATGTCTCTATATGGCTTGTTGATCGAGAAGCATCAATGAATGGAGGCTTCAATTGCGTCGCTGTGTGTGTTTCTTATATCTTTTCCAATTTCTGAGTGGCAGAAAACTGTTTTTCCGGGGATTAGAACCAGAACTGCACCTATATTCGTTGACTTTACTTATCCGACACTTCTGCATGTCGAGATGGAGCAAGTTTGTGTCTGTCAGATTAACTGTTTCAGGAACCTCCACCTGTAGGATGAAAATACCTGCTGGGAAACGTACCTTTTTCCACCTTTAAGAGCCCCAGAACATAGTGGTCAGTGAGATTTTGGGCTTGGTGGCGAGTCGTGAACAAAAAAGCGTATTCGATCAAAAGTGATGCCTTGAGATACCCAACCCAGCGTCCGAAGCCCGTTGAATGGGGGGCAGTCTACTTTGACTGATTGCAAGTGACTGCCAATGTAATCCTTAGACCTAAGTAGCTTTCCGTGTCCCCCTTAGGCCGAAGGTTCTTAGACATAATATCATGAGTAACTCTGCTGAAGGTTCTGGAGAAGTCAAGCGACCTAATAGGAATGGGCTCTTCCTATTCAACGACGAGCGTTCGGCTGTTCCACGGTGCCAAGTAACTGATGATACGTGACCTTCTTCCAAAAACGTCCAGCGTTAACTTCGCTAGTATGGGCAACTGGGGCTTTCTGCCCCTCCTGCTTTGACTGGTGCCAGAATCAGAAAACAGGACTCTGAATAAAAGCAAGAAGAAAGGAATGTATTCACTTCAATTTTGTTTTCACAGCATTGAAACGGATCACCAGTAATATGTGGCTATCGATCTCAACACGATTTGGGGGGAGAAATACTGTTTAGTCACAAGGACTGAAACTTGTTTATTGAAATACAGATTTTATCTTTTATTCTGATAAATATCTATTGAAGATATGCTTCTGTGTAAGCGGGTCATGCTGTCATATCCTCTCCCTCACCATGTGTATCGCACTAAAAGGTTCACCGCTAATTTCTCAAAAAAAGGGAGTTCAATTACTGCTTAAGGCCTCGGAAGACGGAGCGAACTTTCCAAAATCCGTTACTTTCAGGGAAATCACTTTTTGAGGCATACCATGAGATTTGTTAACAATACTTTGAAAACCTGACAAGTGAGAACAATCTTTTCGGTTATAATCTCGACCCGCTTATTCGTGTACGTGGCGTGTTTACGAGCGCCACAGTATGTATTCAGTAACGGTAGGACTCCGTTGTCATTCCAACTACTAGAAGTAGCTCCACTATTCATGAGCTTCAAGATGGAGAGGCTACATGCGGGGTCACTATTAACAGTTTGTGATTTGTCCTGGTGCGAACTTGATAGACGCAAAGATCAATCACTAATTATTCGAACTTGTTAATATACCCACGAATACAAGACCAAGGAAGAACACGATAGCGTAGTCGGATGGAATAGTATGTTTGGGTGGTTGTGCCAAGATACCGATGCGTTCCAACTAACTGGCTAGAGTCGAATACGAGCAGTGCAACGTAACATGACAGCGTGCCGAATGGCGAGGATGCTTGACCGGGTGCCTTCAGCTTAGCGAGTCCAGTTAAACCATCAAGTTCAGTATCAATGTTGTAAGTAGTCGAACCCTAGGCTATTGATTTTGTGGAAGTGTGTGACGTTACAATGGCTGTCCTATGCCATGTTTACTTTTTCAATAGCTTTAGCCGGGAAATCCCTGAAGCTGTCTCAGTTAATTCTACGCCTCTGTTTAAGATGGTTCACGGCTTCTCATAGAGCTGCATCTGTGCTCCACATATTCTCAGTTTGAAGTAACTGGTAGAAATAATAGAAGGAGACTTCCCACTTAAGACTCCAACTGAATTTCATGGAACTAAATTTATGAGTCAGCCATGAATTTATTTTTGACGGCTTGCCTAATTTCTTGTCCACCGAAAACCTTCGGAGAAATTTTTTCATCGAAATTTTCTTCTTCAAGATGTTTAATCTTCCAAAAGTGTCTTTTGAATGCGTTTAGTACTCTACAACACTTTTAAAATAGTGTCGAACTACATTTTTGGGTGTTACTTAAAGCCATCCCCTGGCTTGTTATGGGTTATCGCGTGGATTTGGGAAAATGCGTGTTTTCTGTTGTTATTTCCTACCTTTTTCTAAACTATGAAACGCAGTTAATCATTTCGTCCTCCTTCTTACGGTCTATTTGCTGGACAACAGCTTGTTGTGCTATACGTCTTTATTTGAGAAATTGCAACTGACGTGTTATCTCATTTGTGAAAGAAGACGGTCAAAAATGAAAGGATGGTAATTGGGCCTTTAAATTATTATGATAAAGAATTTAGATTGTAGTGTTGACCTGAAGTCAACCTGTCGATCATAGTAAATGAAGTCTAGAAGGTAATCAAAGAACAGCTGTTCTTTCGGCTAATTAAATAGAATGAATAAGAAAAATTGGTAAGTGAACGGGAAATTTTGGCTGGAATAGGGATATTGTTTCTGGAGGGTGTTGAAAGAGGAGTAAAGGGTAAAGGTATATTTTCAGGCTACAATGAGGAATTAAAGTTGACACTTAAGGGGAAATGATGCGGAGATCAGATGTAAAATCCAGGAAGTAAATATATATGTGTTTTCTTTTTCTGCTTTTCACCCCTTCAACCCATTAGGGTTTAAGTTGAAAGCTACTTAAGGTGGGAAAAGCAGACAAAAAGGGGAAAGATTGCAATAGGGGAAAATCGGTTTCTTTTCTCCACGTATGTCGCTTTATTTTGCCAATGAGCTTCCCCTGTTATCTATTTATTTACCCCTTTTTGGTCTGTATGATATTGGATATTTTTCTGTTTTAAACCAGGTTGGCTCTTGCAAGACAGTTGAAAACTGCTTTACCAGGTGAGTAGGAGACGCACTACATCGAAGATCTGGGAGTGTTCCGCAAGACGTAAAGCTGGCACAAGAAAATCAGTTGGTTTCACAAGCTTGAAATGAAGTCGGGTGTTGTAAAGTGAACGTGAAGTACGCTTCCTTTTATTCTTCAGCTTAATACATGAGGTTAGTGGGTGTCGTCCCAATATACAAAGGTTGAAACAAACCATTTCCGTCTAAATGCAGACGAATCTGCCTAATATCTTCAGCGGTGTAGATCATGGAGAGAGTAGTAAAGGATTTACCTCTTAATCACTTGTTTAGGAATTAAATCTTAAAGTACCGCCAACTTGGCTTCCTGCTCAGCAAGTCTTCTAGCTTCTAATAGCTGGAATCTTCCTGTTGATCGCAAGATGCCCACTCACATTACTTTACTTGCCTCAAAGCTTCCATTATTATTCCAATACTGTTTCCTGCTTTCATCAACGATCAACCGGGATCTCTCGGCTGTCTTTTACCATCTTCATCTGCTCTAAAATAATCGTATACTACCACTAATTCTGCCTTTCCACATGAAGTGTGTGATATGCCTAAGATAGACATTCACAGTAAGACGATTATTACGTAGACGTAATTTTACATAACAACGACTGCGGATACATACTCATGCTGCGGTACTCATGCATAATATCATTCACCGACTCCCACTTACAAGTATCAACCCCTTTAGCATGCGCGATGAAATTGAAATACTAAATAGATATAAGTAAATGTATATTTGTAAAGAAGATATAATAAAAGGCTCACAATCGTTCGTATCTAGCCGTATCTTAATGGATAGGCCTCCGTATGTCAACATGCTTGAAGAAAGGTTTCCATCCTAAACTGCAATAGATGCGTTGCATAATCTTTGCCTGCATAACGTATTGACACCAATAAACCGGAAAGTTCATCGTCCAAGAATTCGTCTGCAGAATTTGTTAATCTTTGCTGCTACGTCTGCGGCATATTCATCTCCGAATCTTTGTAGTATGCGACGGATGTTTGACCGCATATTACGCATTTCACGTATGTACCTATCACATGGTGCTGCGATGGAGATTGCCGATGTGCTACGTGAAGTGTTGGAGATGTGTGACCAAGTCCAGCGTTGGCAGTGCCGAAGCACACGACTAGCTATGAGTATGCAATAAGTAAATACGACATACCTGTGAAACTGGGCTCCTTTAAATGTACCAGAAGCAAGTGTCTACATGGATAACAACACGTTGTGAATGCTCTACAGGTGCATTCACACGATAACAGATCTACTTCAACGGTGTGATCGTTGTCCATGATGAACACGTAGTCGCTACTTTCATATTCGATGTATGTTTCTTCTTCTAAAATCCTGAAGAACCTTGCGGGCT